ATGAGCGCATTACAGTCTGGCACTCATGCGCAGGGTCCATGATTGCATCTGCTTCTTGAGCCGACAACACTTCGAATATCAACCAAGCATAAAGCCTGAACCCAGAACTTTAGGGTTTGAGTTTCAGGGTGGGTTTGGGGGTTCATTTCTCCGGATTCATTCATTGAGCCTGTCCTGGAACCTACTAGCCTAATCCCGACTACAGGACTTTCGGTGCCGGGCGGTACATGTTCTGATAGCAAGCATGTGTGCAAAACGGTGTCTACTGTTCGGTAATCCCGAAATAAAAACCCCCTGAACCTTAAACCCTAAACCCCTCAACCCTTAAACCCAAAATCCTATAAACCCCAAACCCTACAACCCGTGACAATGAGCCATCCGAAATTCTGACCGAGACTAACCTTTCGGCTTTAATGGGAAGCCCTAAACCGTAAACGCCCCAAACCCGAATCACCTCCCAACAATTGCACAAAAGGCCCTAAACCGGAGCATTCCGAGAATTCACAGCTCCTCGTGGCTCGGAACCATTTGAGCGCGTGGCAAAGTTCCACGGCTTGACGCCCACATGTCTCTCCTGTTTCGGGGAGCGTTTCCTTTGTGAGCACGTGAAGATGAGATACAGTGTGCTCTTGACATCGACCAGCATACCTAACAGTAGGTAACATAATGGCCCAAAACCTATAAAAGGCGATTATTCTACATACTTTTGGGGTCCAGGTACAAGTGTCGGCCTATGCAGAGGCCACAAAAAAAAGCGCACGACTCGGTTGTAAGGTTGGTACGGCTGGTGGCGTTGAGTGTCACAAGATGGATGGCCTAAGCATCAACTTTGTTTGGGATGTTTTTTTGGGGGGGTGCACGCACTGCATCCATGGCTACGGGCAGTGCGTGGTTTGCGTTTTCGAATGCCTGTCCGAAATACCCAATTTGCAGAGCCGTACTCGGACTACAAACTCGTCCGGGCGATAGAACATCCGCGAAGACTTATCGCAACTTACGGCCTCAAATTCACGGCTCTCATGCCATCGCGACTTTTTAGCACAGGGCTTGGTGCAAGACTTGGAGATACCGGTAGCTAATCCGAAGAGCCTAAACGCCAAAATGCTGCAATATTACGGATGCATCAAGCCCATTGTGTTCCACCATGCAGGCGAAACTGCAGCCACCAAAGAGGGAGTATTGAAAAGATTGCCCGAGAATTGGCCAGAATTCTTTGTGAAACTTTTGGTTTCGGAGCGGGCTATTGTTTCATAAGGTTCGGAGAGCTGGCTGTACAGCGGCAACGAGCATTTGGAGATCGGCCCCTGCAACATCCCTAAGACTCCATGTGCCGACAGAGTATATACGGAGGGCCTTAATTAAGGTACCTATATCGGAACCCCAAACCCTAAACCCCTTTCGGGTCTATGTATATACCCTTTGGCACATTGTCAAAGGTGGCACATGTCGACCAGGGCGTCGGGGATCATGTCTGGCTGCTCAACAAGCAGAAGCCATCTTTGGCCACTTACCGGCTCGGGTAAATCTAGGCGCAAGTCATTTAGGGTTTAGGGTTTGGCATTAGGGTTTGCGCACAAGTGTTCAAGGTTCAAAGTTGAGGTTTGAGGGTCGAGTTGAGAGTGCAGAAGCGCTCGGCGTGAATGCTTGCAGAGTCCAAAGTTTTCTCATGTTTGAAGCAGGGATTGAAATTAGCACCTTCCATGCCAGCGCTGCTGTGAAGGGCTTCCTCCCTAAGTGTCTTGGCCCTGATGCCTTCATGGCTTCTGTCGTTCAGGGTGTCGTCTGGATTCGCTGCTTTATATTAAGGTTCGCAACCGGTGAATGCTTACTGTATTCGCTGCGCTGCACTAAAACGTCGTTGCAGTGTGAAGGCCGTCAGTATTTAGTTATTTTCGAAGCTAGTTAGTCTTGGGATCCGGGCATAGAGATGCTAAGGCGGGTGCGAACTTGTAGGTGAAGTCTTCCGAGGGAGGTTTTAAGGACCAGGTCCAAAACCATTTCAAAGTAAGATGGCACACACATGTAGAGATACATTGCCTCGGCACTGAAGTGGCTTTGTGGCTATCAGACTGAAATTGCATTGCAATCTGCCTTCCCTCGAGGATAGCTGAAGAATCTACACCCTAGACGCCGAAGTTAGAGCTGCCCTTACGTGAAGGTTTCAGTAACTACGAGTCCATGGAGAGTCAAAGGTTAAGGCATTGGCGTCCAAAGACCATACTATGCAAGGCTTATGCACTATCTCTGGGGGTTGGGGGCAGGCAGAGATCAGATCAGGTTTTGGCGACTCTTTTAGCATTTTGCCCAAGGGTCCATGCTCCGATATAGCACATACTTAGGCCTTATAAGGTACCTGTCTAGTATCCCCTTTCAGTGCTAAGCATGAGCATATGGAGTCTGAGCGTCCGTTTTGTTTTTCAACTCCCCGTCACTCTCAGTTACAGCCTGAATCCGAAGACTCAAGACACTGCTTGAGATCGTACCAGAACCAAGACCCTCCTTGTACCCTCAAATAGGGGTATATGGTCCCAAATAAGGGGCATTTAGGGTTTAATAGAGGGTAGATGGAGGGTCTATAGGAAATTACAGACTGTTAGAAGCCTTTCCGGGATCTGAAAAGTCATACCGAATCATAAGCACTAAGACCTTCGCCTGGACTGCCGGGCGTGAGAGTTCGTTCAAGTGAGTCGCGTGGTACTTACATGGATCATCTGGCTCGGGGACCATAGTGAGTAGGTTGCACATAAATTCATACATGTCCTACCTGGCGTACTTGGAAATTTAGAACCTATACTGGTTAAGGCCCCCACTCCTCCAGGGTGTACGGTGTACCTTCAAGACTTCAGGCATAAGAGTTTTTATGTTTGTCCTATGTCTACGCACAGAGGAGCATGCAAGCCACCGCGCTGCCATATCATTCAACATCGTGCAAAAGCCTTTCTTCAGTGTGTTTGTTAGGAATATTTTGATATGAAGATTCCAAAGGGTTATGTCAAGTTAATATTTGTATTTTCCCCTAAGTTACTAAGGGCGCTGAAGCCTTAAAGATGCACTGCAAGGTACCCATCAAAGACATCTTACCCCAAACAGGCAAACCCCATGTCCTTCAATAGAACCTTCAATATTCTCAACCCTAACTCTATAAAGAACTTCTGTTCCCAGGTGAGCTTAAACAGCCAAATGGAGTTTGGATTGGTGCCTGGGCATCATAATTGTCCATATGGGTGGTTGTCAAAACTATGGTCCCTTTAGGGGCACCCTAAATATTAGGTGCCGTACTATATTAGGGACCCGAAACGGGACCATAATTTTGACAGCCACCCCTATGAACCCGAAGGTTGACACGGTTCTCATGTCAAGGCTTTCGGTTGAATATGGAGGTTTCCGGAAATAGGGGACCGTAATATAATACCCTAAATAGTAGGATCCTTATCATTAGTTGCCGATGTCCTGGTTTTCAGGTTGGGGGTTGTAGAATTTATAGGGCCGTCTCAGAGCCTTGGCCAAAAAGCTATGCTGGAAGTCCTCAGCGCGAAAATATTAAGGCCTAAACACTGAATCCAAACTTTAAGCCCTAAATCGTAAACCCGGCAGCCAAAACTCAAAAATCTAAACCCCAAGCCTTAAACCTGTAACCTCACCTGAACCCGGTATAACCTAGCTTTATAGGGCTCCGTAGGGTAAGTTACGATTCTAAGTCCCCCAAAATAGACAGGTTATTTCGTATTTAGGCAAAGCTTCGCATGGGCCCTTATACCCTTTGTCAACCTCTACTGTATAGAACCCTCAAATCCTTTAAAGGATTCCTATTTGGGTACAGGGACCCTTACACCAAGACCAAAGCCTCGCATGGCAGGTCGATGCTTCCGAGGGCGAGGCGTCCCCGAAAGTGGGCAAAGCGAACGTCGTCTCACTGAGGTTCGCGCTGTGGCTTCTAGAACCCAAAGGGTCCTAGGTACTGTTATAGCAGTAAGTCCTAATATTAGTATATATAGAGACCCTAGATTCTACTATATAGGTACTTTAGACCCGTTGGGGAAACACCTAAACCCTGAACCCCGAACCCTATAAACCCTAAACCCCTAAACCCTAAATCCTGAACCCTATATATAAGCCCTGAACCCTAAACGCCAAACCCTAAACCTTGAACCCTGAAGCCTAAACTTCTGGAAACCCCAAACCGCAAACTTTATGATGTCTGCATAGGGCCCAGATGTAGCAAGCTCCGGTTTCGGTAGCTCGTCGGGGTGTGGGAGAGCCGCGCAGGAGATTCCAGTCCCCACCGCAGTTGTCCTCCACCTTCCCAATGTATAGACAGGAAGAAAACTATGTAGAGGCTAAAAATGTGATTCCTTAGGGGTCCTTATTCCTATTCCAATTGTCCCTGAAGGGGTCCATGTAGCCAAGTAGTATATATTTTGGCCTCAAAACAATCCCTGTATGACTATTTTAGGGCCAAAGTATATACTATTTGGGTACATGGACCCTTAGGGTACTAAGGCTCCTGCATTAAACAATTGTGCGCCGCTTGCTGTATGATCGCTCTGGTGCCGAGGCTGAAGTCTTTCGGTAGTTCTGCATCTGTCGGTTTAGAGGGAGGCTAAGTACACTTTAACCCGCGAAAACACCCTTACTTTTGCGAATGCTTTGCGGCCGCACGTCTTCTTGCTTGAGCGTTCGGTGCTAGATCCTACACCCTGAACCTCAAACCCTACTGTAGGGGCCTTGATAACAATTATAATAGGGTTTTGGGAATTCCTTAGTATATATAACTCCAGTACAATATGCCCCCAAACCCCATTTTCACCGTTAAGGCCCTTAAGTGGGGTTTAGGGCTCAGGGATAGTTTGGACTGATATCCCCTCCTGCTCCAAATACCCTGTTCGATTTGCAAAAGCTCTAAATAGTTCACTAAAGAGTCTGAAAAAGGTAGCGCTAGAGCCTATGCAATCCCCTAAACCAAGTATTAAACCGCAATTTCTAGCGAATTGCTTCTGCGCATGCCCATCATGGCTTTGCGGGCTGCCACGTTAGCTGTGGCAATTGGGAGCATCCATGGCGTGCTCCTCCAGAGACAGCTCCTTGGCATCCTTACAAACAAGCCCCATTTGCAGGTTCAGCACAGATGAGGTCCATTTCTTGGCTTGGACAGAAATTCACCTTTTCGAGATCATGGCGGGTGCCATCCACTCCGCATGCCCGCCCGGAAAAATTCAATGCAAAGTCGTATTTGGCCGGATCCGAACCTTAAAGCCCGTCAAACTGGACCTGTTCCGAACCGAAGTCTAAGGTGTGATTTGAGGCCGTACTGGGGTTCAAAGATTGAGGGTTTAGGTTTTTTAGGGTTTGCTGCGCTTAAAGTGGTATCCAATCCAGAAAGCCCAAAATGCCACGGAACCGCAGCAAACGATATTCTAATTGGAAAGCAACGTAATATAGGGGCCTTAATCATTACCTATACAATTTGGGGGTTCCTTGTTATGAGTTCAGTATAATGGGCCCCACGACCTTATTCTAATCATTAAGGCCCCTGTGTTGGGCGTCCGTGAAGCATCAGCAGCTCCGCTGGAACTGCCTTGTTCACCCAAGTTCCCATGTTTGTATCACCCACTGATTTTGTTCACCTCTTTGTGCTGCGAATTTCAGGTCTCTACAGCAGGTGGATCCACTGGCTCGCTGCGTAGATGGCAGCCCCGCCATCTACTACTGGCCACTTCGACTGATTTTGCTGGGGTTTTGGGACCTCGAGACATTAGCCTCGAAAGGCTGTAGAGACGATTGAGCTGAGCCCATCTTTAATATGACTGCTTGAAATCCCACACGGCTAAATACCGTCGAGCGTCTGAGCAATGCCAGCCGTCTCCGACGAAGAAGAAGTGTCTTCTGGGCTTAGAGCGGCAAGGTTGATACCTTAGGAGCTGGGGAGGTAAACTGCAATCTTTTGGAGTCTATATAGTTCGAGCATGGATAAGCAGGTTATCCCCAAGATGCTGTGCCTGGCGATGCCTAAACTTTTCAGCCGACGTCCGCAGGCTTCAGGCCTAAACTCCCTAAACCCTAATACCTCCACCACGACCTGCACCGGCATGGTGGATCCGAAGCCCGGAGCCAACACTTCCAGCAATCAACCCTGCAATGCTGCTTCTCGAAGCATATGTATATCTATATCTACATCTATATCTGTATCCATATTAACTATATTAACTCTATCTGTATCTGTAGTGTATGCAGACACACACGTACATTATATATATATATATGTAGAGAGAGAGAGAGAGAGAGAGAGAGAGAGAGAGAGATTACAGACATCAATGCAAAGGAAGGCGTCTTCCTCGAGCAACAGCTCCACCTGGATCGTTGACCTCGAAGGCGGCGGCTGGTGCGACAGCAAGGCCGCTTCGGCTTTCGGGCTTGGGGTTTAAGGTTTGAATTTAAGGATTCCCTTAAGGGATCCTTTAAAGGATCCTTGAAGGGCTCCTTTAAGGAGTCCTTGAAGGGTTCCTGCAGGGAGTTTAGAGAGTTTAGGGCTTGGGGGTTTAGGGGTTTAGGGCTTCAGCTTTCGGGCTTGGAGTTTACGGTTTAGGGTTTGGGGTTTATAGGTGTAGGGCTTGGTGGTTTTGGTTCAGGGGTTAGGGGTTTACAGCTTCAGCTTTTGGGCTCGGGGTTTCAGGGTTTAGGGTTAGGGGTTGAGGGTTTTGATCTTTGAAAGTGCCTTGGTGTAGGGTTTCGTTGGGGGTATAGGGATTTAGGGTTTGGAGTTGAGTGTAGCGATCCGATTGACATCGCCGTCGAGGCTTCGATAGTATGCAGAAGTAGAAGGAAAGTTGTGTCTCTTCAATAGCTGTATCGAATAGAAAACATACTAACACATTCATGTATGAGGTACATATACATAAACTGCATAAAGCAAAATAACTCGAGTACATTCCGCTCTCCGAGCTGCCAGCCAAACTGCGAAGTTCTGAAGTTTGAGCCCAATTGAAAAGCTCACACCCTGACGGAGCCCCTCATAAGTCGTCGAGTCTCGTACAACGATGTGTGTTTTGGAGATGCTTTAAGATGCGCCTGCCTTGGTAGGAGGACTGCTTCCTGCACTGTTTGGGGACGCCGTGCCTGGGCATAATTGTCAAGATGTGACGAGACTTGCTGTTGAGGGCATTGAGATTTATGTGACCCTTACACTCCCAGCATCCAGCCGGGACCTGATACCCGCCCTAAGCCATATGCCTTAGACGGGGCCCCCACCCTGTAATAGTGGTATAATGGGAATATAATAGGGCCCTAATATAATCCTTATAGTCACTATTACAGGGTGGGGGCAGCTTCTAACATAATCCTTATAGTCACTATTACAGGGTGGGGGCAGCTTCTAACCTATGCCGTCTGAGGGTGCGGATTCTGTTAGGCGGCATACTATTATATGTTGTCTGGCTAGTGCATCGGAGCCTTTGTAGCTGCATCCTGGTTTATTTTCAGGCTTAGGCTGTAGGGTTTAAGTCTTAGGGTTTAGGTTTCTGCGTTGACGGTTACCGGTTTAGGGTAGGGGGCTTTACGGGAGTTGGCCTTATCGAGTACAGATTCATTCTGCTGTTCATGCTATCTTATGCCCTGGGCCCCTGTTCCGAATCTTCAGGCCCCGATAATTCCTGCCTTCGCCCTGACCTCAATCCCCAAACTTCGAACAGACAACCTTGAATCCCAGACTTTGCGAGCCCTCAAGCTCTAGGGTGCTGTAGGGCACATCTGACACACACCTATATATCCATATATCTGTATCTATAAAGATAGATAGGTATACACATATAGATACTCTAGCCTGAGAGTGAACAAGTTTTAGTGTAGGCGGCTGCGAACGCTAGTCTAACAGGCGTCCATATGAATTTCGAGGGGTCCAAACAATCGGAAATAACACCGCCGTGTAGTCTGCAGTATGATGATGGTCGATATCCCATAATTGGCCCCAACACCCTATTCCCCCAAAGGGTCCTTTGTACTGTTATGGGGGATACTTCCCTAAGTCACAATAATAATTCCTAATAATGAAACCCTACATTCTACTATATGGGTACATAGGACCCTTTGGGTCCATGTTAAGACCCCTACCCTAAATAACCCATGTAGTACCCTTGCCGAGCCCCATACTTGAACTCGTTGACTAAAAGGAATCCTATGCCAATCAAGCAGGCTCATGCATTATCTGAACTCTAACCCTAGACCCTAGACCCCAACAGCACTGAACCCTTAAACCCTAAACCCCTCTAATCCCTGACCCCTTTACCCGCAAACCCCCTAAATCCTAAACTCTAGACCCCTAGACCCTAAACCCTAAACCTTCTAAGCCCTAAGCCCTGAACCACAACCCCCCCCCCCCCCCCCCCCCCCCTAACCCTATGTAGGTTGAGGTACCCTAAACCCCAAAGCGGTTACTAAGCAGCTCGCCAGCCCCCCGGCCCTCTCGTTGAGGCATCTTTGCAGCTCCAAGCTCATGCCTGAGACGATAGACAAGCAGGGTCGCTTAGCTCCAAGGGTAAAAGGAGGGACCCTTAATAAGGACTCCTAGGTATTTAAGGGATCAAAAAGGGTTCTATAAAGGGTCCAGGGTTTAGGGTTTAGGATTCCCTTAATAAGGACCCCTAGGTTTTTACCCTTAATATAGCTGTTACATACCCATTATATAGCCCATTATAGGGTAGGGGTCCCCATTAAGGGTCCGTCCTTTTCCCTTTTGATTGCCGTACAGTAGAGCTGGGGGCTTCGAGTTCGGGGCTTCTAACGGTGTAGGGTTTAGGGTTTAGGGGTTTAGGGTTTAGGGTGTAACTTAGGGTATAATGGAGTTCAGGGTTGAGAGTTTAGAGTTTAGGGTTCAGTGTTTAGTAGAGCTTAGATTTTTACGTTTAAGTTTAGGGTTTATGGTTTAGGGGTTAGTAGTATAGAGTAACCTTTAACCTGGTCTCCAAATTCCTGGTAAAGGCTCCTTGAAGGACTCGATTTCCATAAAGGTTGGAGGGCTAGAGTTTCGGGGCTAGCGGTGAGGGTTAGATGGCACTGTCCCACAATTTTGACAGACAAAGGTCTGCTGGATGACCTGTTGGATCCGGTGCTGAAGGATGCGAACCTTGGCGGGGCGAGTTGTGAATTCTGCCGGTTTTTGGCACTTTTATAATTGCCCCCAAGGTTGCTAGATTAGGAGTTACTATTATAATTTGGTGAAGTTTCCCCCATGACAGCACCCAGGACCCCTTGGGTTGGGTATTTGTTTGGGGCTGATGTGGCATTTGAGCTTATGCTTTCGGTCTGCTGTTGTTCAGGTTTCTTCGGGGCTTAGTAGGTGTTGCGACATCTACTCGGTTCTGGAGTACCATACGGGAGTTTCCGAAAATAGGGGTACCTTATTTTGGGGTCCTTAAAATAAGGATCCTACTATTTAGGATACCGTCTTAGGGTCCCCTATTTTCGGAAACTCCCATGCTTGAACACATGTTTTTGGACCTGTTCCTTGAAGGAACCATAAGGAAGCAAAGCCTGTGCTAGGTCTCCCAGGGCACCCTTTTTCCCTTTTTATAATCCTAGGTTCCTTATAAAGTTACCGGATACCAAAGAGGGAGCCCTTGTCATTCCTAGGTTACTGGGCATCCTGGTATGCGTTGTTTTATTCTATCCCTGGTCACTTCAAAGTCCAGCCCAGGAGTCCGGGGTGTTTTTCTCCAAAATTTGTTTTCGAGGCCCCAGTTGAAACTACGGCTGATGAAAAAAACCCTGCATTACCTTAATGACCCTTGACTATGGGACTTACGGTATATTCCTGATAATGGTCATGCAGGATATATATATATATATTATATATACACACACATATATCATCAAACGTATGTGTGCTTTGGCGGTCGTGGTTTGGGGTTGTGTTGTGACTTGTGGGAGGTTGGTTCAGGGTTTAAGGCTCCATCTCAGGAGACAAGACCATCCTAACACCACCCAAAACCTAACTCCTGAACAGCGGTCCCTAAACCCCCATGACAGCTCTTGCTTCTGTCCTATATGTCTCCTACAGAGGCGTAGTATTTTCCTGACAACCGTTTGTCTCACGACCTAATTCCTTTATCAGCCAAAAATCCTGGAGCCCTGAACCTATAAACTACAAGAAAAGGTTCAAACCGTAGAAGCCCCAAACACTAAATCTGTAAGGAATAAGATCTTCATCAGCTACTGCACCTCTGACGGTCACATGGGCGATGGCTCCTCCTGGAATCTTCAGTTTCGGGGTGCCCGTGTGGTGCAGGCAGACTCAGAGAAGGGTTAGGTCTTTAGGGTTTCGGGTTGGTTCCAAGCTAAGGGTTTAGGGGTTTAGGGTTTATTGTTTTTGGTTGACTTGTTTGGATGCTGCGCAGATTGGATTGTTTGCTGAAGTTTTTGGATCACGGTATGCTCAAGCCGTTGGTAATTGTGGGGCTTCGGGCCTGCAGTTCAGAGAAGACCGATTCTTTGTGCAGTGACTACCAGATACCACAGTCTAGATTTTTGTCAAGGAGTCCAGTTCGAGCTACCATAGTTCGCAATAGATCCCGACTTTTGCAACTTGACGTACATTGCTGAACAAGAACCCAGGATACCAGATTCTAGGTGGTGCGGTCTGGTGTGCGATGCACCTGTAGCGACAAGTCTACCCCAGAAGTAAGATGTCGCACCAGGGCAACTCAACGACCCTGACTCACCGCACTGTTGTATGCTTGCACACTCATTTCTATTATCTAATATCTATGCCTATAGCTATAGCTATAGCTACATCTGTAGCTATAGCTATAGCTATAATTTTGAAAGCATGAAACCGTGGCACACTCCTCTAGTTATCTGGAGCTTCCGCATTACTTGCGCGTGCCTCATCTTCCTTCAGCCCAGAATTGAACCCTCGAAAGACAGATGCATCACCCCAAGGTGCCCAAGTGGCAGGCGCAACTCAACCCCAGCCCCACACGCATAACTCTAACATGAACCCTAAACCCCAAGTTTTTGAGAGGTAAGGAGTTCTTATACAAAGCCTTGATGCTGGGATTCCGATTATCTCCTTTGCAAAGTCACAAGGGGGGTCATTATTAGTCACGGGGGTCGTTCGATCAAACAAGACACGGCCTAAGCTAGACAGCTTGGAATCGAGGCTCGCCAGAAACCCCGAACCCTAATAGAACCCTCGGCCTTTATACGAATATGCGATGAAGGATTCGGGTTCTGGGTTCAGGGTTTCTGGTGCCATAGAACCCTTCTCAAACCCGTCTGGAACCTTCATAAAACTACCATTCAGAATTCCAATATAGGCCCTACTGAACCCTCATAACAACACCCTACCCAGTTCCCATATGGAGCACGAGGACCGAACTCATGGAACTCGATCTGAAGTCTTGCTTTCCCTAGGCCAGCACTGGAAACCAACCCAGACAGCCCAGAATATAGCGGGTTAGTGTTTGGGGCTGGGGTTTAGGGTTCAGGGTTTAGGTTGTAGGGTTAGACTCGGTTTGACAGGTATACTTCTTGGTTAAGGGGTTTCGAGCTCTCCTGTACTGCAATACGTAGCATCCCCTTTGACCCATCTTCCTGTCACATAGCGGCCTGAACAACGACAAGCATATTGGTTATGCCGTTATATCCTCATGGTGCCTGTTGTAAATATAGCATGACCTTCCCCCAAATTCCGGTTCTAATCATTAAGGCCCCTGTGCAAGGCGGTTTTCCGGGACCTGATGCAGCGCTTCCACTTCGCCTCGGGTGATAGGCGGCATCTGTTGGTCTCTCGGCGCAGAGCCGAAGAGCATATGGTCTGTTTCGACATTTTTTGGCAAGGCTATGTAGATATTTTGAAGAGGTTCCCTGAGTTTTGTTTTCTGTCTTGGAAGGGTTTTTGACGTTGGCCATAGGGTCTCCTCTGGTTTTAACAGGTGTTTACAGTTGTATGTACTCTATCTTTTCTGTTGGCTTCTGTAGTCAGAGGCTTTCCACTTGATCATGACAGCTTGCAGGCAAGTCTGTTCCGGATTCTCCCGTACTTTATTGGCTCAGCATGGGTTTGCCCCTAACCCTGCCGACGACTACGCACGAAACTTCAGTCGCACCGAACACTTGAAAGAAACAAAGAACCAAGACAACACAAGCTACAATCCTGAATCCTGAGGTGTAGAGTGCCTAGCACACATGCATGACTTCCCGAATACAGGCACTGAAGCAAGAACATAGCCTTCTCCATCGTAAACTCCTTGCAGAGGCTGTCAAGCCCTGTGCCACTTCCTGAGGTCCTGGGCGGTCAATCCGCTGGGGCGCGCGGTGCCATGGAACCTCAGACTAAGTAGGATTAGAGGGATTTAGGAATTTTCCAAGGCAGATTAATTATGGACTAACTGAGCCGTTAACTTTAGAGGGATTTAGGGTTGGCCAAGGTAGCTTAATCATGGAATACCTCAGAACCTAAAAGACCTAAACATTTCAACCCCAAACCCTGCATGAGAAATTCACTCAGTAGGCGTTGTGCTGTTGTGATTGTTGAGGTTTTCCGGGCTTTTTAAGATGATGGTATCGGGTGGAGCACCCCAGCCTTCCAAACCCGTGAGCTTCTTGCTGCAGCAACGTACACAGGGTTTAGGATTCAAGGTTTAGGGTTTATGCGACAACACACAGTCCGAGTTTAAAACCACAACACCCTCAACAAACAAGACAGTTTTTGGGAGATGTAGCACTATACGAACCCGTAAGGGGGCTCGAGAAGGGGCGGCTTCTCAAGGGGGCTTCAAAAGGGTGAGATCTATAGGGTTCCTTCAAAGGGGATCTCTAAGGGTTCCTTTAAAGGGGATCTATAAGGGTTCCTTTAAAGGGGGGGCTTCAAAAGGCGCTTGAGAAGGGGGGTCTCCTAATTTTCGCAGGAGGCTTCAAGTCCCCCTTGAAGTCCCCCTTGGAAGCCTCCCTGAAGAGAAGGACACTTTTCCAGAGATAGACCTCTACGGCCCTGAGGACGGCGGATTTGGGGAGAGATAAGCCTATACGACCCTAAAGTTTAGGGTTTAGGGCTTTTTAGGGTCTAGGGTTTAGTAAACCCCAAGCCAGACCCCAGACCCCAAACCCGAGGTGAACTTGGATTTACCCCAAGCTCTGAACCCTAAGCCCGTGTAAACCCAATGCTCTAGACACTAGATTCCGAAACCCGAGGTGAACTTGGACTACATGCCAGACATCCTTGGGCCGGCAGCCGCCAACGTCAAGGTGCAGCCTCTCCCAGGAGTCTGAGAATGGTGACAGAACGCTCCAAACAAAGCCCTATATATCAGATATCCTGCCAAACCCGATGCTACAAGTGGAGGCCTAAAAAAATCAACGCCATTATGCTGACCCTCGCAGTAACCCTTTATAGAAATCCTCCCCAAAAAGGGACGAACCCGAGTTCCGACCATTGGAGCGACCTGGGTCTCTTGTGTTGTGCAGGTCATCGGCTTCCTGGATTCGCCTTTTTGGTTGGACATGCCGCTACTCGCTGCAGGGTTTACGGAAGTGTTTGGGGTCTGGGATTGGTTGGTCCCCACTCACACCTGTCATGTTCTCTCGCTTGTGGTCTTGGGAGTCCGAAACACGTGGAAGCCTTGACGTGCTCTGAGACTCTGGCGCCCCCGCAAGAGACAACGCCCCAAAGCTCTACACCTTATAGAGCTAGCCTTCACAATCCTACATAAGACCCCGGCCTCAAAATGTGGCCCCAAACCCTAAACCCCCCTAAGCCCTAAACCCCAAACCTAGGACTCTAGCCCTCACAACCCTAAGACCCCGGCCTCAAAATGTGCCCCCAAACCCTGAGCCCGAAGATCCCTGATCCCCCGAGCCCTGAACTCTGATGATGGACGTCTCAGGCCTTATGCCGGCAGTAGCTTCATCGGATTCAACAACTCCTGCAAGTGTTTCGGCTGGCCTTGGTACGGCTTTACTGTTCAGGGTTTCGGGTACAGGGCTTCTGGTTTTGTCGGGTGGCGGGCTTTTGAGTTATTCAGGGTTTGGGGTCGTAGTTTTTCAGAGTTTCGGCTGTAGGTTGAGGGTTTGCAGGTGTTGTAGCAGGTTCTGTGTGCGATGTCCTGGACCACTTTCGAACCATAATTAGTTCATTCCGGGATGTTAATTCCTTCGCTTGCCAGGCTGGGGTATATTCCTCACTCCCTGTACTCCGCGCACTCCGTTGAGTGTCTCTAGCGGATGCGACGAAACCTTATTACCGGGCATGTAAGCCTTAGACTTTCTGTTTTGGCAGGCCTGACGCCCTCAGAGCTCGGCATGGTAGGGTCCACATGCCCAAGCCGAAGCCCGACCTCCGAAACCATGTTGGGACCCAAACCGAGTTTGGCAGTAGCCCAAATCGAAGGCTGTCGCTACCTGCAGGAAGGTTCGAGGTTTTTGGCCGTGGCTCTTGGGCGTCATAAGTGCTGCTGTGTAACACCCGAAAGCCCTGACGCGCGCAAGGCAAGTCTACGACATGGCCAATGTCACCCGCTTGGGGGCTGGCTGTGCCGCCCAGTACTCTGCAGAACCCTGGAAGTGCATCATGGGCCAGCAACCTTTCTCATAGTTGGGTAACATTTTGCCTTTTTATGGGTACTTAAACCCAATACGGAATAAACATGTACATGTTCAATCCTATCCCGACCATCAACTAACCCTAACCCCTAAACCCTAAAACCCTAAACCCCTAAACCCTAAAAGCTCTTTTTTTCCGACTGGTCGAGGCATGTCGTTTGTTTGTACAGAGTGGGCTTCGGTCTTCGGATCCATCGGACCCTTTGGGGTTGCAAACGCACAGACTGCACAGAGCTGATTTGCACTGTGCGTCCCGCCGCAGAGGTTGTTCAGGATTTGAGCAGTTTGGGCGTGAGGTTGCTCAGCAGCAGCATATGAACCCACACCCTAAACCCATTTTGGGTTCAAGGTCTCAGTGTACTGGAGTTTAACATTGCTGGAGTTGCTCGAGGAATGAACGTTTAAAGTTCACGTTTTGTGCCCTGAACCTTACCAGCATCCCTGTACATATATGGTGTAGACATTTCTCCGAAAGGGGGATTGGGACATGTGCCGTGAAGAACTCATAGTGGCAAATTAGCTCTTGGGAGATCTGGACCCATAAGCCTTAAGCTCCACCTAGGAATTTGTAAACCCTGTCTTATCAGGCAAAAGAACCAACCATACACAATCCCACTAATTGTCGAACCCAGCAACAGAGGGATTTGTTGGTTTTTGCTTGCACTTAGCGGTCTTTGGAACGAGGAAGACTCCACACAGTCCTTGCATCAGGTATCGCATGCCACACCTGAGGACGGGAGTGTTCCCACGATCTGTTCTCATCATTCTGGTTGGGTCCCATCGGACTTATAGGCAAATATCGGTAAGCAGGTGTCGGAATTACGATTAGGGCTTAGTATTCACCAGTCGGTTTCCTTGCATTGGAATACGTACATAGATTGTTCTTCTAGACCGCAATGTCGAGTGACTTTGTCCCGACATTATCAGGTTTGACCATCATGCTTTGAATTGGATTGATTCATGTCAACATCCATGGCAGCCTGGCCCCGGTGCAATGTAGAAGCCTCAATAACTACTAGTATTTGTTATTCGTCAGGGTTCCTGGACACCATATAAACGACGGTATGCCCCACGAACCTTTTTCAAGCTTGAATGCCGCCGCGCTTCGGCTAGAGGACTGCCTGCCTCATGATTATCATATGTTAGAGAGAACTTGCCTCGCCACGTCGTTCTAGTTTATATAACCCTAAATCCTAAACCTCTAGTTTCTAAAGCCACTATCCCCAATCCCGAAGCCCCTGGTTTGCAGGACTGCCTACCTCATGGTGGCTTCCCAGTACGACAGCTTCCAGCTGGAGATATTCGGACGCAGAGATGTGGTGCAGGGCCGAAGAGTTGGCTGTGAATGGATTCAGGGTTTAAGCTTAGCGTTTGGGGGCATTCGTTAGGGCTAAGGGTTCATGTTTAGGGTATTCGGGTATATAGGTTTTGGGGTTTCTGGTTTAGGCTGCGGGTCTGGGGTCGCCAAGTCGTGAAATTAGGAGTCTTTTTGGTTTGAGGAACTGGTCGTTTTAGGGACTTATAAGTACCGTAACCCCAATTAGGCTCCCTGTTAGAGTACTTATAAGTCTGGTCGTTTCGATTCTGTACCCACACCCTTCGAGGGGAATTCCGAAGTTGGACCTTTCGGGCGTATGTGTGCCGCAGAATTTTTTGCCGGGATTACCAGTGTTTACACTAAGGCCCCAAAGTAGTTCCTTTTTGGGGTTCGTATATAGAAACCTATAATTTATTCCCAAAAAGGAACTACTTTGGGGCCTATGTTTATGCATGACGGCCCATGATGGCTTCAGGGTTTACCAAATACCACGGGTCCCTGTAGCTACATAGTATGTATACTTCGATTCCGGCAGCGTATCGATATAGGGACAACTTTATAATAATGGCCGAAATCTCATTATGATATATGGATACATGGACCCTTAGGGAAATTGATACGCACTTCCTGAGGGGCTTTCAAAAGCTGTGCACTTCCGAGGAAAAACCTCGGACACAAACCCCCCTTCGACGATGCGGAGCAGCGCTACGCCGAGGGCTTTGCGCAGAAGACTCGGGCGCTGGCGCTGTCTTTGAGGATCGATGCCTGGGTTCTTGGGCGGGGGGGAAGCGGCACAGAGGTTTGGGATTTAGAGATGGAATTTAGCCACCTGACTCCTGGCATTATTTATGATAGATGCTATGATTGTGAAGGGTTCTAAATATAGGGTTTCCCTGGTTTCTGAATTTCATCCTCCGCACGAATGTCGCCTGTCGCGTCTTACGATGTGGTAGCTCGCTACGCTCGCTACCTTGGGAATCGTGTGATAAGAGCACACGTAGCCTGCCGCAGCCCAGCGACTCAGTTTAGGAATTGCAGAAGCCTGCGCAGCTCTCAGCCATGGATTCAAACCTGAGAGCACTGAACTCCGAACCCTGAGCTCTTAACCCTAAACCCTAAAGCCCTAAAGCCCCCCAACCTGTAGACTCTGCTTCAGCCCTTATTTGTATACCTTTTCGGGCATACATACACAAAATGTGTATATATGTATAGATAGCTATAGGATACACATACACCATGTACATGTATATGTGTATATATATACACACATACATATACATATATAACATATGTACATACATAAGTACGTACATACATACATACATACGTACATGCATAGGTACCTACATATATACACATGCATCTCTCTCTCTCTCTCTCTCTCTCTCTCTCTGTATATATATATATATATATATATATGTATATATAGAGAGGAGAGAAACCAAAACAACCAAGTCTTCGGGCAATGGTCTGCAAAGTTTCCAGGACCCAGTGGCCTGAAACGGGCTCGCAGAATGCAGTGCCTCCCGGCCGGCAAAGCAAGGGATGAGTTGTCATCTTCATCTTCTCGGTCTAGAGGTTAAAGGTTTACGGTTCAGGGTTGTCGGTCCGGGGTCCAGAGTTTAGAGTTCTGGGTTTAGGGTTTAAGGTTCAGGGTTGAACAGAGATGCGAAGCATACATCAAGATAAGCTGTCAGTTTGAACAGCATCTGCAAAGGTGTGTCTGTCTCGGTGTCTCTGTGTGTCTTTGTGTGTGGTTGTGCTTGTTTGTCCGCCTTGTCTGCTTCGATTTGCCTGTGCTGCGGATCTTTCTGTTGTGTATTTTCGTCCTTTGTCCGTTTTGTCTGTTTGGTTTACCCGTTCTTGGATCGATCTGTCCGTTTGCCTGCCCGAGTTGGTTACCCTGAGGCCCCTGGTAGGGTCTTGTGTTTTCTGGGAGAGGGTTTCGGCTTTGGGGGCCAGGGTTCGGGATCACACTACCAGGGTCCTGGAGCCCTAGGGTAGTGTAGAAGTGTTTATGCCTGCTTGTGCCTATGTGAATCTCTCTCCGTTTCATTGTGCCTGTCTCTCTCACCTTCCCTAAGTGTTTAGTGTTTATGTAGTGCGGAGATCTTGATGTAGTGAGAGTCCCATGCAGTATGAAGTCAACTTGCACCAGTACCTGCATCTGCCATGTTGAGACTTTCTTGGTATCATTGTTCCTGTTGTTGAGTAATGTGACAGACTCCTGTCAATAAACTATCCGTACATGCAGAAATATCCAGAGCCTCAGCAACCTGCGCTTTCATTGGCTATACTCTCATTACAGTTCTAGTTCCCCGCCCCCCCCCCCCCCCCCCCTTGTAACCCTGTCCTGCGCAGCCCACTCCAAGCATACAAAAGGCTGAAGCTGAGAATTCGTGCGGGTTCAGGGTTTGAAGCCGTATCCGCTAGACATTCATGGTCGCCATTGGCCCCATACATAACTCGCCACTCGCCTGGCCTTTGGCTTGACTTCCAAGTGATATTGCTTGGAAATACTACATAAACCCAGAAGCCTCAGCCCTAAATCCTTACAGGGAAAAGGCTCCGGCGAAAAAAAGGAAAGCACAACCCCTGAACCCTCAACCCCAAACCCTTAAGCTACGAGCAAACTAAACCCATCCCTTGAAAGGTTCTCTTGGGCTTGCTACGAGCATGCAACGAGCCTGTCTAGGGCCGGCTTCGATGAGCACGCTTGCGGCTCGTTTCTGGCTCTGGGCCAAATAGGACCGTAGGGTTTAGGTAAATATCCTCAGAAGGAACTCATAGTGCGGAAACCCCCAACTAGGTTCGACAATTGTAGGGCTCAGTCAGGGTATAGGTTCGAGGGTTTGGATCTTAAGGCTCAGGGTTTGGCCATGGGTTTGCAAAGGAACCCCCTCCGAACCTACATCGGTTATGCTACCTGCTACCTTGCTCGAAGTTCGAAGCACGAAGCACCCACAATACATGACCATGTGCTGTTGTTTTGACTGCTTTGGTATCTTTGCTGGGGTGAGGGGTAATGAGTGTTTCGGGGCAAAAATCAATCGTTAGCTGAGCGGCCCGAGTATGTGACGCATGTGACGGCTGATGAGGTTACGGGTTGCGGGAAGTCGGTGAGCTCACGAGCCTTGCGTCATGGGCTGTGTAGTTGTGATGCATATGACTGTTCAGGACCCATACTGTTTTTACTGTAATATATGATGTCAGATCGGGGGATCCCTTGCTGAAGAAACTTTCTCCGTGATCCCCCTGGCCCTAAATACCCTAAACCCTAGTAGACTAAAGCTTTGAATGAGGAGTTCCCGTTTCCTTCACCTGCGCTCAGATGTTCTTGGTCCGAAATGCATGGAAACCCTTAAGGTCTCGGTTTCCTCCACGAGCCAGGCCACGTAGAATGCACCTGTCCGTGCTCCGCATGCTCCGTATGATGGTGTAGGTAAGTGCGACGAAACATTAATCTTGGTGGTGTATTGGTGTATTGATGATATTCTTCACTATGACATCTCAGGCCCCTCAGCAGTCAACCAACCACACGAAGCCACCAGCAACCTTGAAACTAAAACCGGGGAACGTTCCAATTCGCGACGAGTGAAAGGTGGACAGAACTCGACCACTTTGGATTCGGCGACTGCTCAGTTTCTCAGCTTCGGTTCATCGTAAGGAGCCATCATTTGAGTTGCAATGTTGCAAGGTTCCTGTTCGTTGTATACCATCATGGTTTTTCATACCGTCGAGTGCATGATACGTTTTTTGTTGAAAGGTGGGGGTGCTCTTTGGAAGGCTTCCCTAGGGTTCCAATATGCTAGGTTACTATAACCATGTACTATATGGGTCTGAATAATTACCAATAGTATTTTGGGGGCTCCTTATTGTAATTATAGTATGATGGGCCCCAAAACCCTATTCTAAATATCAAGGCCGCTGTATTAACTGGAGCCTTCGGGCTTCTTCGTAAGCTCCCGAGGTTCTTGGGCCTTTCGCCGGCAACCGGCTCTCCTCGAGTACTCTCCTGGGTGGCATGGCTCGATGCGGTTTAGGGTTTAGGGTTGTGAGGTTTAGTGGTTTGGGGTGTAGGGTTTAGGGTTGAGGGGTTTAGGGTTTAGGGGTTAGGTGCCTTCTTCACTAAGCCGCGGGTCTTGCTTTTCAGTAGTTAAGTTGGAGGTTGCCTGTGTTGGGGGGGGGGGCTCTAGGAGTTTGGTGTTTTGGGGAATAGGATGGTGTTGGGCACCCGTAGGAACCAGGGAGGCAGCTTGCAACATTTCGGATAAGTCTGAAACTGTTTAACCCTTCAGCTTGCTGACAAAGAACATCAACCATATCTTTGCAACCCCATACCCGTCACTTTGTGGAACAGTCACTAGCCGCTAGCCGCTATCCCCCTAAACCCTAATCCCCCTAAACCCTATATAAGCCCCGAAACCCTAAACCGCTAAATCCCTAAGCCCCTAGACCCTAAACTCCTAAATCCTTAAACTTCTTCACTGCTGATCGGTCAAAGGTCCGGAGCAAACTAAGGACATGCACGCCCAAAAGTGGGAACCGCTATGGAACCGCACAGGCAAGGAGACAAACAGGCAAAAGAGCACAGGGGCGAGAAGCGCCTCAGGCGCGACCCAGCGACACTGTGCTGAAAATGAAAGAAGCTCGCAGAGGACGGACAAAAGGGGAACGGCCCGCAGGCGAGGGAGAGCAAAGGCCAAGAAGGTCCGGCCACCACGAGGGTGGGCAGTCGGGATGCTGTGCAGCAAAGATCACTCCGAAGGGCAGATGCGCAGAACGGAAGAGCGCGCGGGGCAGCAGCCTCCGGAGGAGCGAGAGCCCTGCTGAGCTCGGCACACCCCAAAGCCAAAGAGCACCTCCAGCACAGACGCGGGCGCAGACCTGACGGAGGGTAACCGTGGCGGCCAACAGGCACTGTAAGGCAACCGGAGGCTCCTTGGAAGCGGCAGCAGGGTCAGAGACACTGCTGCGCAGGACACGGAAAGCCGACGTGGCAGCGGCGTCCCAAGGGTGGAACAGATCGGTAGCATGCCAACATTTCCAATAGCGGTGCCACGCAAGAGGAAGCTGCCAAATGACAGGGGCGAGACTCCATGCAGACCATAACGGAGAGGGCAGATGCCATGCCTCAGCTGGTTCAGAGTAGTCAAAGATACACCGCCACTGTCGTACGGGTGCCTCAACCAAATTAGAAACGCTGGGCGCATCCTCCTCAGATCCGGGGCAGTGAGCGATAGCAGCAGCGGGGCCGACGGGCTCTGCGGCGCCCACATCTAGGGGAAAAGGCCTCGGGTGCGGGTCAGCCGGTGCCGCAGCAACAAAGCGCGCAGCCCCATCATTAACCTGCGGGGCCGGCCAGTCAAAAGGGCCAAGCGCCCCAGTGACTGCGAAGAGCTCTTGGGCAAGCTCTCCCGCGGTGCAAGGGCGCCCTGCCTCAGAAGCAGCACGCTGGGCAGGCGTAGCATTAAGGGGCCCTCAGACCTCACTGCCGGGACGCCACGATGAGTCCTAGGCCCGCCCCGTCGAGACCCGGTACCATATTCATATACCTCACCGACAGTGACCCGAAGCCCGTGAACACACCCCGGCGTGGTCCGGAGATGGTATTTGAGCCGATCAGATGATTGCATCTCTGTATGGCACCAAAGACAAGCCGTGCCATGGGTGTACCGTGTCAGCCAGTTGACAACAGAGTGCTTGCGGTGAACGTGTGCCGCAAGTGCGTGGGCACTAGGTAGAACCGCGTTGCAGATGCCGCAGGGATGTGGGGTTGCGCACCCGAGGACTCTTTTATGCCTGGGTCCGGACAGTGCTTGCCACAGATCCCAGAAAGCCCACTGGAGAGTGCCCCATTTGCTGAGAAACCGGCAAGCCTTCAGCATCCCTCGCTGGTTGGCACGCACGAAGGCCAAGGCCGAAGGGACATGTTTACGCTGGGCGCTCGCAACTCCACGGGCAACTGACTTGCAAGCATCTGCGAGCAAAGCACACCAGGGGACAGCACGGTTCCATGCCGCGTCAAAGAGATCCCAAACCTCGGTAGGTGCCCGACCAACGAGCTGGACGACAAGGCGGGTGCGAGCAACGACAACAGCATGCTCAGGGGCCGTCAGTCCAAGGAGGCAGAGGAGCACGGACCGGTGAAGGCGGTGGCCGAAGCGCCAGGATCCACACACGACCCGGGCAATCCGTTCAAACAGGCCGTGCAAGGGCGCGGTAGCTCTTTCGGACACCGCGACTGACGTAGCAAGGGTTGCGTACGCAGCGGGCAGGATCCTGCCGGCGACCCACGCTTGCCGGAGCGCCCAAGGTAACGCGTCGCTGTTAATCAGGTTGCGACCGTGGGCCCATGCGGTGCGTCCTCGTTGAGCACAAAGCTCAGAATCTCTGCGGCCATTATCCTTGGGGTGTTGGACAACCCCGAGATACCTGTATTCAGGAGTCAGTCGTAACTCGGCTCCATTAGGTAGGGTTAGCGGTCGGGACGACCCAAGCATTTCACCACGTACTGCCTTGGCTTCACTGCCCCTGATGTCAAGGAGAGCCTCGGTTTTCCCTTCCCCAAGGTTAACAGAAAAATGTAGGGCATGTAAGGTGTCTATGACAATTTCAGCAACCCGGGGAAAAAGCTGTTGCAAGTCTCGGGGACTAGCATAATCCGTAATAACCGCAAGGTCGTCAGCCCACCCTATCTGGAGCGGAGTGGGGGAGGATCCAGAGGCGAAACAAGCAGCCTGGCAAGTTAGACCCTCCTTGGCACACACAGTTTCAATGTGGCGTAGCGCAATGGCGAAGAGGGAACCAAAGAGGATATCAGCGAGTCCGTCGCCGGGTCTTGAACCCCGCGTTGCAAGAAATAGACGGTCGGACCCGACCAAATGCCAGTGGGCACAAGCGACGCAGTCCTTGAGAAGTGCAATTTCTTCCGCCGGGACACCGAGAAGCTGAAGGGCGCCTGCCCGTGCCAATTGGTCGACGAGAGCGCTCAAATGATATAGCCGCTGTTCGCTGGGCTCCAGAGACAAAGGGCCGCCATCAAAGATGAGGTCCCTGCTCGCCTCGTAATATGCGGCTTTGATATCAACAAAGAGAACCGCAACACTCCGCTGTGCTTCGACGCAGAGTGACCACGCACAGCGGAATGCAGCGACAGCGAAGTGGACAGGCATGCCTGGGCGGCCTCCGAGTTGGAGTCCCTGGTAACGACGTAGAATCGAGTGCCCGAGACCTTTCCTGAGGTACCCATGGTACACCTTGGCCATGCCATTCATCAGTGCGATAGACCTGTAGTTTTGTGGCAGGGCAGCTGGGCCCTTCTTATATAGGGCGCATATGAGTGCGAGCTTGAACTGGGGTGGCTCGCGGCCCGTCAGTGCGATGCCAGTGCAGACACGCCAGAACCAGAGACCCGCGGAAACCGGGAAGTGCTTCCAGAGCTCGTTGAGCACAAGGTCGGGCCCAGGAGCCTTCCCGGCCTGCTGTCTACGGCAAGCAGCCTCCATCTGGAGGAGAGTCGGTACCGCCTGCGGACAAGGTACCGTGGGAGAATGGGCCCAGGATCGCTGGGCAGCACGGATTTGCTCGGGCGTAACCGCACGCCCCCCTTCTTGGGCTCTGAATTGTTCTTCGAGTTCCTGCTCGATATTGTAGCCGCCCGCTGCGTGGACGGCTCTCCGCTCAGCAGCACGACGCGAGGCCCATCGCAGCTTGGAGATGGACTCAAGGGCTCGTCCTTCCTGATGTGCCAGAGCTCAACAGCGGAGGCCGTGAGATGGAGGAAATGTTGCACTTTGTCCTTTTTTGCAGAGTTGTGTGCAATGCGACTGAGGCGGAATTTTCTTGTGATAGCATCGCAGCTTCAAGCAACCGCTGTTGGTGCCAGCGAAGGTGTGGCAGGCGGTCTCCGTAGCAACGCTGCCGCCACCCTTCGAAGCAGAGCGAAAGGAGCAACGCGCGACCGTTATGCTTGACTAAACGGCACTGAGCCCGCCAGTCCCTGAGCCGACCTAGAAGCTGCAAAGTCTTGGCCTGGATGTACGGCTGCTTGGGTACAAGTGGAGAGCGCGAGGGCAAGGCCCTGCCTCCATGCTGAGTAGACGTCCAGAAGCTGCTGGACCTGTGCAGGGCAGCCCACAGGCGTTTGACGCTGGATACGGGACCAGATGTCACTGCCAGCCCCACGCACCTCGGCCGGAAGACACTTCCGCTGCCGGGGCCGGGGCACCGCCGGGGCAGTCGCCCTAAGGATAGCATGTGCCCAAAGAGCGACGTGGTCTTGCTGCACATTTACGATGTCAAAGGCTAGGGCTTGGCTAGACCTCTCGACCTCCCAGGGACCTGCTTGGAAGCGAGGATGATCTAGCCGTTTCCTCCGGCCACTAGTGTGCTGCCAGCTCCAGCCTTCTCCAACTTGGGTGTCGCTGAAGGTGGAAGGAGCGAAAAGGCCGAATCGCAGGCACAATTCAAGAAGATATTCATCATTACGGGAAGGCTCGTGCTGGGATATCAATGTGCCGATCAGCACTCCCTCATCGTCTGCAGAACAGAAGTCGCCGTTAGCGTCGAGCCCAAGCACAATGGCACGCCGCCTGGGCGTGGCCTGGAGGACGGTCGCGAGGAGTTCCCAGAAGGCTCTTGCTTCGGCATCGGGTCTGTCAGAGTGTGGTGCATGCGCAGAGCAGATAGTGACCGGGAACTGCTCAGAAACGCAAGTGATGACAAGGAGACGTGGGCAGCTATGCAAGATGCGCCAGTCACTCAGCTGCAACGATGGCGAGACAATGCTTGGTTTAACCCAGATTTCGCAGCCATACTGGCCTTTCAAAGCTCCAGAGCGCCATGTGAGCCATCCGCCAACCGCCCACCGGCCTGCCTTACTCCGGGCCTCCTGCAAGCAGAGGATATTGATGCCTAGCTGGCAGGCCTGGCTCATCAAGAACTGAGGGCAGCATGTCCCGAGGGGTTGAACAAATTAGAAGGAGCATCTTTGATGGACTGAATGTTTGCGGTCGTAACGCAGAGCGGCACCGGTGCGGGAGTATCGACGTGGCTCGGGGGAGCGGTGTCGACAGAGGTCTGTGGTGGGGACCATCCAACATCCCCTATCGCAAGGGAGAAGCAGGGCCGCCCGCCATGCATCTTGGCCTGCGGGATGAGCCAGAGCCAGGGCGCTAAGGCTTGGAAGGTCGAGTGCCACGGCAGTGCGGGAGGCGGTCTAACCTCACCATAATCCAAAACCCAAGTGGCCAGGGCGTCCGCGAGAGTATTGACCATTATTCCTATGTGGCTATGCACATGCCGGAAGCTAGTCGACACCCGAGCTTGAACAGCTTGCCAAAGGGCACGTGTGCTAGCGGCCAAGGGCTGTGCGGCCGCCGCGTGCCCGGCCGCGACTGTCAGTGCTGAGGAATTGTCAACTGCAAGGGTGATGAGTCGAGGAGAGGATCGCATGTAGATTGCCCACTGGTCGATCTGGGCCAGGCACCACATGGCAGCTGCTTGCAGCGCCGCAAGTTCACCGTGGTAGGACCGGGTGTCGGTAGCAGGTGTCGGTGGCAACTCAGACAGCCATCCTACACTGGTCAACCGGGCCGCCTCCCAATCAACTCGGTACCAGCGGTGTCCGAACAGGCCCCAAACGATAAAGGCCCAGGACCCAGTGCCAGCGCCGCTACCATCGGTGGCAATCAGGAGTTCGTCAGGAACCCCACCGGCCCATAATGGGTAGGCGTTCCAAGACCCGTGATATGTCCACGGCAACTCCTGTGGGAGCTCACAGTGCTGACGCCGGGAAAGCCAGGTCGAATGCATGTCGGCCTGGAGTCGGCAGACATCAGTCAAATCGGCAACCCAGTGATCATGCTCCCGCTGCCATGACGGAGCTCCGAACGCCGAGAGGTAGACACTGAGGATAACAAGGCTCCAGCTAGCCAAATACCCTCCCCGGCGCCCGTGGACCCCGGGACGTGGGAGCATCAGACAGAGGAAGCACCCAAAACGAAGTAAGGCCCCAGCGGCTGCCGGCCGACGACCCCAGCTTTTGCTATTGAAGGGCAGTGGGACATGAGCTGAATCCGGTGGCTCCCCGTCGTCAGAAGAGTCTGCTGAGGCCGCACTGTCAACGGGCGCAGGAGGGTGTGCGAGGTCCGGAATGCTTCCTCAGTTGAGTCGAGGAGGTCAGCAAGGAGGCATAGGTGTAGGCCGTCACAGCAATGGGTGCGAGACGGGCAAGGCCACCAGGCGTCCGGCCAAGACAAGAGGGCAGGATGAATGGAGCAAGCATGTGCATGCCAGCGTTGGGGGCCATTCAGAGGCACCACCGTGGGCAGTGTGTCAGACCGTCGGTGAAGGAAGACAACCCCGAATCCCTCAAACGTGAGATCCTGGCTCCAGAGTCCACGGCATTGTGCGTCGACTGGGTCATCGAAACGCAGCGGGATATGAAAAGGGAGGGACGGCCCCCATGCGTGCCCGCTAACTGCCAAGAGATCCCCGTCACTTAGAAGGACATTGGCGTCGGCCGCCGCGGCAGGGCCTAGAGCTGGGTGATTCCCCTTGACGGTTTGGGAGGTTGGGAAGTAGCCTCTCAACACTCGGAGCAACAACCTTTTAGAGATGCGCCCAGGGAGAGTGATGACAACGGGGCCTGGGGACCCTAGCGCAAGGATGTTGGCTAGGTCAGTGGCCAAAGCACGTGGCACCCAATGTACATCATGATCATCTAGCTGGGGTCGCACCTGCGTGAAGCCGTGGGCCCACAACGGCTCCAGCTGATAGAGGGCCCGTTCACTGACAGCCAGATCGCCGCATAACACCGGACCAAGGCGCCCCCTGTGAGGACTCCACAACCAGTGCCGCACCCTCGGCCCTTGCGCGTCGGCATGCCTAACAGAAACACTAGCTGGGAGGTGAGCGCTAACCAAAAGAAAAGCACAAAGGCGGTGGTCGAGAAGAGTACACATTCCCAGCGCCCAAAGACCGAGCAGTTTACCGACACGACCTGCTGCAGATCTGGCATGGTGCGGGAAATGGAGAATGTCCCCGTCACGCAAGGGTGGCCAGTCAGTCGCCCGATCGGGGACGCCTAGCAGGCTGGTAGCGCCTTCTCGAAGCCCCCATGATAATGCGAAGGCCCTTGGAGTGACACGGGCATTAACGCTCCAGCAAGTGCCCTGTAGCTTGTCACCGACCAGCTCCTCTACAATAATGTGACAATGTATCTCGTCCTCAGACCTGAGACACAAGTGCACGTCAAGGGAATAGGCCCATGGGACAGGTACCCAACACCCCGGGTACCGCTGCTGGAACTCGCCAGTAAAAGTTGCCTGGGAAGCAATCCAGCGGCTCCCTGGTGGCATGGTAGTGCGAAGCGGGCGGCTTCCTGGCGCCCACATGACAACGGATAAGGCGCATTCACACTGGAAGTCCAAGGACCATATTGCTGCGGTGCGAACGGCCAGACCAGTGATGAAACGCGGCGGATCGTAACTGGACATGCCGCCGGGCCCTAAGGCCAGAACCACATCACCGTCGCGCCAGTCAACCGCGTCATTGGGTCCTGAGCAAGCTGCCGCGGCCTGTGGGGGCCGACGAACTGTCGAGACAGCACCCGGCCCGAGCTGTTGAAGCAGTGACCGCAACCAGTTGGTATCGGTGCGCCTCGGTATGATCAGTGGGAGCTGCCAGTCAGGAGAGACGACCATAATGCACACAAGCCGAGGGTCATCTGGCGCCGGAACGAAACAGAGATGTGGTGACCAGAGCGCGGGCCACAGTGGCATGATCTGTGTGTGCCATGCAGGGCCCCTACTGGACAATGCGATAGCCACTTCATCAACCGTAGAGTCGGGGGTGATGGGCAGAGGTTCGGTGTCAGCCATAAATGGGGAGAACAGGCGGGCAGTGCCCTCTGGCGCAACCGCTTCGTGGCAAGCACGCTCATGAGCTTGTAATCGCCACGGGAACATACCGACGTTACCTGTGTCAGCAGCCTGCGACTCTACTGGGGGCACCAGCATAGCATCAACGTTAGCTGCGACACCAAGAATGACTAAGGCAACGAAGTAAGTCTGACTCCGGGCTAAACCAAGGGCAGCAAGGAGGTCCGCAAGCCGAGACCGGGCGGATGCGCGGTTCACAGGTACGAGAACGTCGCCATCCCGGAGGAGGCTGTCAGGCGCTTTCAGGCGCAAATCAGGGCGCAGTTGCCATCCGCTGGGAACATGGTGGCCCGGCCCCCCGACCGAGAGCAGCCTGCATTCCGTTTCCGGTGTCCCTGCCGGGTCATGCAGTATAACATGTGCTTCGCCCTGTTCGGTTCTGCGAACAAAGTGGCACTCATACGGCTGAAGGCAGGGGACAGGCACTATCTTTGGAGTTGAGGGCTCGCCCCGCACGTGCGCGAAATGACCCCCCGCAGGAGTCCATATGCTGCCCTTCTCTACCCAATACCGTTGGCATTGCTCAAGAGGATTGTCGGTGTCCTGCCAGACATAAATCCAGCCCCCACGCCGAACCCGAAACCGTTCATGCCAAAGGTTGAGATGGTTGAGATGGTACAGTTCGTGTACCCATTCTTCCGGCCGAGCTCGGAAGGCGCGGTTGAAGTAATTAACTTCCAACAAGACTGTGTCACCATCTCGCAAAGATAACTGTGCATCTGGGGGCATCTGTGGGTGTTGCAGGGCAGGGGGCAGGCTAAGGCGGTCGCCCGGCGCGCCTAGGAACCGACGGCAGCACTCAAGGAGTGTATGTAGTCGGCAGACCCTCGGGACCAGAACGGCCCTGATGGTATCGCCCGCCTGGGCAACAACCGAGGCTAGTCCGCTGCCAGCAATCGGCAAAACCACACCGTGGCTCGTGATGCGACTCGGGCCTAGGACAACATGACCCCTAGCCCAAACACCGCTACAGGACTCCACCATGGATTGCAGCGCAGAGTGTGGGGTGCTAGCGTCAGAATGCACACAGCTGCTCCATCCGCGAAACGGGCATAGATAGGACATGGTAGTCCCACCGTTGGTCCGACACTACATCGGCAAGTGGATGTGGCATTTCAGGCCGCCACCTTCCCACCAGAGCAACAGTGCAGTCCTCGTCCGAGTCACTCTGGCATGCATTGGATCTGGACCTCTCGCGAACTGCGCTGCACACATGTAGGAGAGGAAGCAAAAGAACCGTAGTCGGGGCAAAGCGACTGCCTGTGCTAAGCCCAAGGAGGGAGGCAACAAACAGAAAGGAGACGTGGGTTCTACAACCGATAGCATCCCAGGCGATCAGGTCAGTCTCAGTGCCCGAGTGGTCGAAAATAACGTCTCCATCCCGGAGAGCCCACCGGTCAGTAACGCGCTCCCTGGCGACACCAAGTGGTCCAAGCCTGTGGGCCTCCAGACCTCTGTCGGCACCAAACACGGCCGGAGAGACAATCCGACCGGTAGACTGTGCTAGCAGTTCACCACCACTCTCGACCAGAATATTGGCCGTATGCGAGGCGTCCGACGCTTGTATGAGATGAATCCATTGACTAGGACTCCACACAACCGGAACCCATGACCCCGCAAAGGAATGCCGAAATTCTCCGTTGAAAGAGAGCACCACTGGGTCCCAAACCGATCCGGCTGGCACGGTGTAACGTATTGGTTGAGGGGCAGTCGGTAGCCAGAGGAGGATTTGGAGAGGGAAACTCAAGTGTATCCGGCGTGTCCATAGGGTGCCATCCTTGAAGGCAGCAGGACTATGGGGCCAAACTTCGCGTGCATCGTCTCGGCAAGCGAGAACATCGAGCACGTCACCTGTGCGAAGAAGCAAAGGGGCACGAGGCCGAACCAACCGAGCGGCGTGGACTGCAGGCGGGAAGCGCACCTGGGAGACTTCCCAAGGTGTGTTGTATTGGACAGCTCTGCAGATCTGATCATACTGCACGAGGGCAGGGACAATCAAGGACTTTTGAGCCCCTTGAATCCGAGCCACCACGCAAACGAGGCCTGCTGACTCACTGATTGCCGGCACAAAGGTGAGCCGATCAATCCGGTCGCTCGGCCAGACAGGGAAGAGCCGAGGTATAGCAGGATCGTCAGACAGATATCGTTGCGCAAGCTCATCCAAAGTTAAGGCACCAGCCCCATGGAAGACCCCTTGTGGACCGCACCATGGGCACAGGTACAGGGTACGACAGGCCCTGGTACCACTTACGTGGTCCATGGATTGGGAATGGCGAGGCAGCCGCCACGGGAAATGTCCAAGAGAGTATTCGACTCTGCGCGGTTCGACACCATGTTGGCCAGGTCCTCCTATAAGAGGCAGCATAACCGCTCCAAGGAGAGGAAACCGGAGCCCCAAAAGGAGACTAATGACCAAAGACATACCAATAGGTGCTGCTCTTGAACTGACAGGCTGGGGAGGCGGCGGCCCGAAAGGGCCCATGTCGGCATGGAGGCAATCGCCATCACGCAGATGAATAGGACGCTCAGGGTCCCGACCGGTTGAGTATGGCGTGCGAATGCGCCCACGTTGTCCTCTGACCGCAACCTGGAGACCTCTGCCCCTGATGATCGAGCGTGGGAGACATCGAGGATAAAGAGCTTCTCCCGATCGTATCAAGACTGACACCTGGGAAGAGTCGGCTGCCGCCGGGATGAGATGTATCGCCGCGGCGTCAGGTTGCGGTTGCACACTAACCAGAGGTTGCCAGCCTCGCCGTGCCGAGTAATCTCGCAGCATTTCCTCAAAGATAAAGCCCGTGCCAATGCAGGTCGTAAGCAGTTCACAGCTAGCACCTCGAGCAAATGGGTCGTGAATGGTGATGGGACACCCATAGGGGATGAAAGGGGAGGGTCGAGGACCTAAATTAACGCCTTGCATGTGCGCAGCAACACGGCGCTGGATCACCGGGATAAGGGTGCGATCAAAGGGATCGACTGGTGCACTCATGTCACCCTGTATCGGGACAGCGGTGCTTGCGCCGGTATCATCACTGG